CTAGTCGAGAGCTAAAATCTGCTGGACTCACCACCGCCTTGCACTCATCCATACCAAAACGCTTAAGGATGTCGTCGACATATCGGCGCTGGCACATCGTCACGCTCCCGTCAGCGTTGTACACCAATTCGATTCCCAGTACAAGCGCACACTTGCCACTGTCGGTCATCTCGAAGCGCTTCTTGAGATCGCTCTTGGTGGTTGCAATGAGCTCGGCCGAGCTACCAGTCACCAAAACGTCGTCTACGTAGACCAGCAGAAACACACAGTGACCATCACAATCTTGATGTAGAGACACGGGTCGTATGCTGAAACTTGAAAGCCGATGGAGCACACGTAGTTGTTGAAGGTCTCGTTCCATACGCGCGATGCTTGCTTGAGACCGTAGATCGCCTTCACCAGCTCCAGGCAGTCGAAGTCATCATCAAGTTCGACACCTTCTGGCACCATGCAGAACACCACCTCTTTCATTATGCCATACAGGAATGCTGTTACTACGTCCAGCTGGTCCAGGGGCCAGCCGAGGTACACGACCAAAGCAATGATCATGCGCAGCGTCACATACTTCACCACGGGCAAAAACGTTTTGGTGTAGTCAATGCCATACTTCTGCGTGAAGCCTTTCGCTACAAGGCGCGCCTTGTGCTTCTCGATTGAGCCATCCGCTTTGCGTTTGATCTTAAACACCCACTTCGTACCGATGGCCCGTTGACCGCTCGGTAACTTGGCAGTTCGGAACACATTGCGAAGTCGCATCGACTTAAGTTCGGCACGGATGGCCTTGCGCCAATGCACTTGATCAGGCCCGTTTACTGCTTCTTGGAACATTGCCGGTTCAGCTAAATCACCAGCTTCCACTGCGTTGGCACATGCTCGCCAAAATACAGGCGGAGTTGCGTCATCGTCGTCTGGGTCCTCGACGTCTTTTTCTTCTTCATCGGCCACATCACAGTCATTTCGCACACCTGATCGACGCTTTGTTTGACGCTCAAACGAGATTTCTCGAGCACTAGCTTCCTCCAAACCGGGAGCCTGCTGTGCAGCGCGCGATCTCGTAGTCATGCCGTGAACGTTACTTGTGCGGGACTTGCGTTTCCCCGCCTGCTTGAATTCCGTTGGACACGCAGTTTAGGTATCGTTGATACTGAGAGAGGAGGTCGAGATCAGAATCTGCGTCGTCGTCGCTTGGACTAGCCGTTGAAAACCCAAAGCTCGATTCGTCGAAATTGACATCGCGTCTAATCACCACCTACCCCGGCTCGATGTCATAAACTCGATACGCCTTTGACACTTCTTCATAACCCATGAACAACCCTTCTCGAGCCTTGAGGTCCCACTTGAGTCTCTTTTCCCTCGGAGTTAGGACGTACGTTCGACAACCAAACACACGCATGTGCTTCACACTTGGCTTGGACTTGTACACGATCTCATATGGAGTCTTGCTTTCGATCTTGGGTGACGATAGACGGTTCTTAGCGTAGATAGCGGCCATCGCCGCTTCGCCCCAGAAACACTATTCCAACTTGGCATGATGCAACATGCTGCGACCAATCGTGACGATAGTCCTGATAGCTCGTTCTGCAGTGCCGTTCGTCTGGTGCGCGTACAGAACCGTGGTCTGCTGTTCGATGCCTCGATCTTCGTAGAACACCTTGAGTGAGTTTGTCGCGAGCTCACGAGCTCCGTCATAACGTACGAACTTGACCCGCTTGCCGAATTGCGTCTATACCTTCGTGATATAGCTCTTGAGGCATTCTTCAGCGTCCGACTTGGCTCGTAAGCAGAAAACCTTCATGCATCCACTGGCTTCGTCAACGATGAGCAGCAAGTACTTGCTCCCACCCAACGATTCTTCTTCCATGGGGCCGCAGATGTCGAAATGAAGCAACTCGAACGTGTCGTAACTGCGTTTGTCGCGGTTACTGGGGAACGGCTTCTGGACCATTTTCCCTTGCTGACACCCGCGACAGACACTTTGCTCACTTGACTTCAAAGGTGTCTTGGCATCCTTGATCATGCCGCTGTTGACCATCTTGCGTAGCACGTTGATAGGAGCATGGCCCATGCGCGCGTGCAAGTCAACGAAGTCACTGCGTTTATCGAGCATAGTGGTGTGCGCATTCAGTAAAAATCGTCTACGAGATCTGCTGTAGCCACCACTTCCTTCGAATTTTTGGGCGCAACGTGCATGGTTTCACCACTTGAAATTTGCCGCTTTTGTTGATCTGCGGCACTGATAGCAAGTTCCTCTTCATCTTCGGCACGTAGAGCGCGTTGTTGATCTCGATCTCGCGCTCATCGCCGTTGGGCAGATCCACGCGCTCGATGATAGTCACCACACCCTTGATTGCAACGTTAGTGCCATTAGCGACCTTCAGCTCGCCTTCCTCTCGTTCGTTCAGCATAACAAACTTAATCTTGTCATTGCAGATATGATGTGTCGCACCGCTGTCGACTGCCCACAGCCCGGACATACTCTTGCCCGTCAAAACTCCACATTCCAACGAAACCGCAAATGCCACGCGATCATAGCCGTGGTCGTAGTTGTCGTTTCGCAACTGGACATTGTTGGCCCCGCGTCCACGACTGTTGCCGCCGCGTCGGCCTTATCGATTCTCATCCTTCTGCTTGGTCCAGCACTTCTCAATCACGTGCCCCAATTTTCCGCAGTAAGTACACTGGCGAGACTCCCGCTCGGTACTGAACGCCTTTGCCGCGTCTTCAGTCTTCACCGCAGAGGTTTTCTCGCCTTGTCGCTTGATATGCTCGTTTGTGAGCACCTTCACAACGTCTTGCGTCTTCAGCTCAGCAGTACTCATCTCCAGGTGTAGCACGACGTTCTCGTAGCTCTTAAGGAGACTGCGCAACAAGCAGATCGCAACGTCCTCGTCCTTCATCTTAGCGCCGATGCTACTAAGCTTGGCGCTGATGTTGAGAACTTCATTGCAGTGATACAATACGTTCGCGCCTTCAGATATCTCCATGCTGAAGAGCTGTCGCTTCAGGTAAATACGACCAGCCTTCTGCGATCCACCGTACAGCGTCTTCAAGCGCGCCCACGCGGTCCACGCTTCCTCGCAGTTGTCGCCCACGTGGTGGTAGTCCGCATCCATGTGGAGCAGCATTAATCCGAACGCGATGTTGCTCAACTTGACATATTTGTCCTTCGCACGAGGGTCCGTGAAGCTTGGAGTCGTCTCTTGGTTCACGACATGCCATACTGACTTGGTCAGCAACACACCACGCATGTAGCGGCTCCACGTCGCGTAGCTGTCACCGTTGAACTTGTCGATGGAGATCTTAATTGAAACGTCTTGCGCAGAGGACATGTTACTTGGGCTCATAACCTGATAGAAGGCACGGGTTTTAGGCAACATTGGGCTTGTACGGAGCGAAGGGAAGAGTCATCACTCGCGGAGTAGACCGGAGCGAAGGCACTTGAGGGAAAGAAGGAAGATTCCGAAGTGATTGATTTATCGGAGCTTACACAGTCCTCACTACCTAATTCATCCAATCAATTGGTGCATCCAATCACCAACATTCTGGACTCGTCCAATCATCCTACTCGTCTAATCAACGTACCGTAATTATCGCGGGATCGTGTTAGACCGGCTTGGTTACCGGTTTATGGGTACTTACCGCCTGAAACCGGTACCCCTCAATAGAAAGAAGCATAGATGACCGGAGCATGAAGGTCCTTCTACGTTTCGAGGGTGAGGCGCATGGAAAAACATGCCAAATAAGGGCTTAGAGAGACCGTTTGCACCCGCAGCGAAGCGGAGGGCTGCAATGGTCGGCGCGTAGCCCGGAGTAATTATACCAAAAAGGACGTTACAATCTAATCCAGACACCGCGCCTGGACGAGTCGAGGACTTAGCGTAAGGCGCAAGGGGGTGGAGCAGGCTGCGAAGTGAGAGAGGGGCGGGTCCTCCGCCGCAACGTCGCTAAGTCCACAGACGAGTGCCAACGCGCGAGTGTCCTACCAATATTATGATTTACCATGTCTACATGTAGTACTCGTCCATCAGCCGTTTCTCTAAAACCTGTCGAAAACCCTCTGTGCCGTTGCTTATGGAACCTTTCACAGCGGTAGCTCAGACAGGTTTCTTGAGCAGAGCAACAGACGCCATCGTCACCAAAAGCGACATCCCATAAATCCCGTAGATGCACCCAATCCTGCAGCTATACGCAAGCGTCTTTGCGATCACCGTTTTCTGCAGGGCTGGAGCAAGCCGTGACATTGCCGTCTAAAACACGGAGGTTGACACCAGTGACACATTGAATGAGCATGGTAGTCACATAAAAAGAAAGCAGCGCTGTGCTAGAGAGATGAAGCCTGCGCTACTTGTAGAGCTAAGGGACTTCTTTTCGATGTGGTCCAACAGCAATGATGCTTTTTTAGATATTCAGTAGCGAATTTGAAGGGCAGCAGCTACTTCTTGAGCGCTTTTCGTGGACGTTCGCTGTCCACTCGAACTCACTCCAGTGCGTTTCTCTGAATATTGAATTCATTAACCCCTTGGACGCGGAGCCTTGCAATAATGTCTTATGCTGTTCTGAACAGCATAAGAAACACTTGATTTCACTATGGATGGAAATCCGCAAACTGCCATCGTCGACACTTCCCAAATTGAAAAGGTTTTGATTGGTCCACGTTTTGAAAGCAACGAATTCTATTGGATAACATTTACAGCCGGATTGAAGTACCGAAGTACCGCAGATAAGAGCCGGACTATATATTTTTCCAAAATATCAAATTTCCGTTCCCCTTTCGTGGTCACCACTCATTCTTCATTCCGAGCCCCATACAGCAAATGGAGTACGTTGTGGATTTCAAAGTTGTGTGGCCGCTACTGCGCAAGGAAGGGTGGACATGGAAACCAGCAAAAGGGTTACAGAT